ACTCCTTGTAAACTGCCTGATGAGGAATGTAGTAGACGCGATGGTTGTCAAAAACGTATTCGTCGACTTCCTCAATGAAACCAGCGACTAGATGATCCTCGATTGCGGCAACGTATTGTTTCCAAGCTGACATGTTCTTGCGAAGACGTTGGTATTGGCTAATGAGCCGACAATACGCTAACTGCTTGTTGTCGAGCAGTTTGGATGCGACGTTTCCAAGGAAACTGGACGTAAAGATAACCGTCGATGAATTTTAGAAGAGCTAAAAAACTTATTTAAAATGCGAGCATTGAGCTCATCATCTGCCTTTGGATGATGGCTGTCTGTGATACCTAATGAGTCAAGTGACCAGAGACGTCTTGCCAGCTCATCGTCTGCGTCGGATGTTGCGAGTACTTCGTCGGTCGCTGGGCTCTTCGGAATCCCGAGTGAAAAACCGAATTTCCCGACACGACGGTACCAAACCTTGTATGTGTCAGTACCATACCCGATGGCAGACAGACTGGGGGTTCCTGTGAAAGAACGTCCCAGTAACTGTCAATTCCAACGAGTATGTCTGGCAATACCGATGCGACGTATGACTAGATGGGACTGGCAAGTGATGTTTTCTGATGAACTTGACATCTGCGCTTGAAAGTCGCGGTGGAGTTTGCGGTAGCGTTATAATGTCTTTGCTCGTAAGGTGAAGTTGAAGCACGCGATCATGCGCGTCAAGCAAGTCGACATCTACTACGCCTGTGACTTCGGTGGTCTGGAGACCTCCGAAGGTAATGAAAGTGCGCTCTTTTTGATTGTAAATTGGCAGTCCTAACCGCTGCGCTGTACTTGTTGTGATGAAACTATTTTGGGCTCCTGAATCTAGGAGCAGAACAACCTTTTCCAGCTTTGATGCGTCATAGTTGTACGCTTTAGCGTTGACTAGCATTAACGTTGCTTTATCTACTGCGCGTTTAACGTTACGTGACTGATAACAATGGTTGCTTTGGGTGGCTGAGTTGGTATCTGCTGTGCCGTGAGGTGGAGTGTCTCTCAGAAGAGTCTGAGGGAATGAAAACTGCGCTGGCTGATTAGTATTAGTAAGGGGAGTCGCCTCTGTTATCAACCCTTGCTGGACTTGAACGTGCCCGTCGTTGGAGCCGACTTCCGTTGTCATGCGAAGGCTTTCGAGACGTGCGCAGGCTTTCTCCAGATTCGTATGAAGCACATGAATAAGGTTCTCCGCTGCGACGGCTTCGTCCTCAACCTGGAATTCTTTCACGTAGGTTTGGAAGGCTTCATTGTCGACTTTCTGGTTAGGAGAACTGCGAACGAAAGCTAAAAAAGCTTGTTGTTTTTCTCGCACGGCATGAAGTGCTGCGCGTATGTTCGACAGATGCGCCCAAATAGCTTCTTGATGACGGTCAAGAAGCTGACGCTCGTCGGCTCGTGACAATGATTCGTAGTTGAATGTGTTGATAAGCTCGTGCGGTATCTTACCTTTGATTGTTTCGAGTGCGGTGAGCGCTTTCGTTAAGTTGGCTTTACATGCGCTGATGGTTGACATGATTGATCGCTGTGGCAGGAGGTGGTTACTGCCTAACCCAAATCTAAAATGGGGAAAGTGAGTAGGTGTAGTGCCGTGAGAAGGCCCTGGCCACAAGCCTCTCGCGGCGAGATGTTATCTGCGAATAAGCGAAGTTGGCCTCACGACAGTAATTTGCGATCACAAGAAGGTGAGCGTAAGACGAGGACAACAGTTGACATGACTTGCGACAAGTGTGCGACACAATGATGTTGCTGCCGTACTCGTGAGTATCAACAAAGGCGGTTGCCTGGAACTGCGCGGATGATCTTCGAGGCCACACAGACGCCAACGGACCGAAGATGCGGCCTGAATACAAGTGAAGATTCCGTGCGGACTACCCGGACAGCGTTTCCCCATGCTGCTACGGGCCTGGCAACCAGGTCGCACGAGGGACGTTTCTCCCATCCGGTCCTTAGGGTCTCCCTCCATGCGATTTTGCCCTGGTGCACCCCCCGGTGCCTCGCGCGCATTGCTTCCTCATGCTCCAGAAGGGTAATCCTTCCCGCTCCCTAGCCGCGGTTGCCTCGTACGTCGTATGGTTGCTGGTGCCACTCCAGGAACCATAACACCCGTACGGGCTCTAGGGTGGTAAAGGTAGGCCCTAGTCGATGCTTCCTGCGCGGTCGTTCTGTAGGAGCTCGTATCAGCCGAAGAGTTCCATGGACGCGTCCTGTTGATCCTCCAGTTTCCGACTTCTGCGCGTGACAAGGGCTCGATCTCAAAGGCCAGACATGTGTTACCACATGCCCAACCTCGGTCCGATGCACCATGTCGCGACGCCGGTGCGGCAAGCCTGGGGCAAGACATGGCAAACTACGACGTGGCTTGCAGCCCGGTGCCGTGATTTTGGATGTTGTACGGAGGGACACGCGCCTAGCTTTGCCTGCCACGTACCTGCGGTCCTCATCCTCCGTTGCCCCTGATTGTGCCTTCCTGCTGGCAGACCACTGCGCTTAAAAGAGCATGACAACTGCGCTGAACTTATCTTCACCTTCCCAAGGTGTTGCCCGACACTTGCGCTTTATAACCACCTACTTGATGTTAACGTTGTGTTGGTATTGTTGACCAAACTACTGCGATCAATAAATATCGATCTCTCTTGGAGATTACACATGTAAATGAAAGTGAAAGAAGATAATGAAAGGTGCGCGTCACTACTGCGCATGACTCTTGCTACATAACAAAACACAAGTAAAGTAAAGTTGGCTTTATGCCATCTACACAATCTACGAACCTAAACTAGCAAACCTACGGGATGGATTCCTCGCCTCATTAGGGGCCATCGGTGCCTCGAGCCCCTTCACTCGTGCACTGCGCGTTAGCCGGGGTGCGTTCGTCACGTCCGGGCGCGGAGCACAGAGGAGTGAAGGTTCCTGTCTTCCATACCACAGATCCTTGTCCAAGGTGTCCATTCCATTGCGTGCGCTGCGCCCCAAGGGTCGTCCGGGGGACGGACGACGGCGCTCGTAGGACTAGTCGGGAATACCACTGCGTCCAATGTCTTCTGCGCTGGAGTGACAGCTGCGCTTGAGATGGAATCAGATGCGGGACAAGGGACGAGGGACGAAAGACGGCAGTACCATGCACTGCGATGGTCGATGAGGGAATGTCGGTAGGGAACGACCGGGCAGGTCGAAGGGAGAGAAGACGACTGTCGATGATGACGACGACGAGGCGACTGACTCGTAGAAACTTCCAGGCCCAAAAGTGGCGTGGGCCAATCCTTCCCTGCGCGTCGACTAGTGCGCGTGAAGACCCAGTGCGGACCCTGACGACTCGGCCCTTTAAGATGGCTGGCGGGCTGACTTGGCGTCGGATGTAGAGTGCGAACCGTGACGGACGGCGTACAATATGCGTAGAAGTCGTACGAAGTCACGACAGGAGGAAAAAATGGTATGCAACACAATCTGCAACTTTGGGTTCCTCGGCCTCGGACGATTTGTCAAATTAAGGAGAAAAAGCAGAGAAACACTTATGGGTGATAGCTCGGTTGAAAAGTTCTCCAAGCGGGAGTTAACCGTACATACGAAATCCTGAACACCACTTTGTAGATTAGATGATACAGCCTCGGCTGAATGACCGATTTCGAAAAGCCCAAGAGGTACAAATAAGTCAAATAAATGGATCACTTTGAAATTTAAGACGTATTGGATTCACCAGTTCTGAAAAAAAAAATGATGGGAAAGGGTTGGTTGCGGTTTTCACAATAGTTTTTTTTTAGCAAAAACATGACCAAAACTGAAGTGAATCACTTAATAGATTTTTTTCTCTTACTTACTGACTATCTGTTTTAAGAAGAACAGCGACGCTTCATGCGGATGCGTACAAACATCGCCAAGAAACTTGTGGAATATGTATCGGCAATAGAATCCACAAAGTCACTACTTGATATGGTGGAACCTGACGACAATGAAACGAAGAGAGGAACTTGAAAACACATTACGAAATGTCCAGGAAATGCATGAGGTAAACAATTGTAAATCAGTTTGTCACACTTTTTCCTAAATGAACGCTTTTCAGAAAACGAAAAATGATCAGCAGCGGTTGGAGGCGCAGTACAAAGAGTTCCGAAACAACAAGTTATGGCCCACGAAAGAAAAAAAGATATGTGCAGGAGCAGCAAAGCACACCAAATGAAGATGCACCAGTGTCTACGGATAACGGCTCTCCGGAACCAGACCCCAAACAACTCTTCGATAGTTTCGTCAAAGTAGAAACACAAACTTAGTTATTTAAATAGATTGGCACAAATTGTTATATGGTATATGCTTTGAGATAAAGTGAAATGGTGCAGCTTTCCGTTTTGTGTATATAACAAAGGAATAACTCAAGATAAGACGGGAATTAAACCTGTGCAGGACTGTCCTATATGCAGGTTTGGCAGAATTGACGCAATAAGTTGATCAAACCCCTTCAAGGAGTGACTGATTGATCGCATGAAATGCGAATTGTAGGCCAGTTCTTTGTGTTGAAGTTCGCCAATCCATTTGGCGCTGAAAATCGTGCACAATACTCGATTTAATAGTTACGCACGGTAAATAATATTGGTCTTGCGCTCGAGCTACTGAAAGGTAACCTTTAGATGTGACGATTTCCGCAAGAAGGCACGGGTTCGGTATCGTAGACCGAGCCTTTCCGATGAGATTAGTAAAGGCGATACATGAACTCACAGTAACCCATGTAGGAACAAGATCGACTTTGTTGATGACAGTTACAAGATGTTTGTGAGGTTTTTCCTTCCGCAAGAACTCCACTCAACATGACGACAGCGAGTTTGCCAGGGTCACGAGCATTATGACTTGCCACAACTCAGATAGAATCCAATACCTGCAGAAGGTAAAGAGAGGACTTATCAGATCATGGACTGAACATGCTCTTACATCGAGAGTTATTTAGTTAAAGAATGTAGGGTGTAGAGTTAGAGGGAAATGACCGCTTTGAAAAGAGGGTTGGGATTTTCGAAGCGAATCAATTCACGATCATCTGGTTGTATATCGCGATCCTTCGCTACATCGTATTTTTCACTGCGTTCTTCAATTGACTTCGTCATATCCTGAAGAGTAGCACGATTAACTTCAAAGCGAGGCGTACTAAGCGACACTCAGGCAGACCTCAAGGCTTTCACAAGACAATTTCGCCTTCTTCCTCAAAGCCTTCTTTCCAAAAGTGTACTCGAAAGACTCCGTATCGGTTACGTGAACACGTTGTTGCTGAAAATGGTCTACAATGTCAAATGCACCACGATGACAGCAAACTCCATACCTTGGCCTTTTCCTGTAGCAGACTGATGGGAAGTTTTGTTTGTTTCATTACTACCTAGAATAGTTAAGGTTTTTTTCAATCGTTAGAAACAGAGCAACATGATTGTAGCCCTCAACTGACCTGGAAAGGATCACGCATAACTTTTCCCAAATTTTCTTGGAACTTCTGTAACTGGTCCTGTCCGACAATTCTGGTGTTTCCTAAAATCAAAGGATCAAAAACTTGCATTCACGCTGTGATCGCTCCTCAAGTTCGAACAAGGCACTTACCAAACCATTTTCTGTTTGGTTCAACTCGTGCGACAGCGCCAGACTTTAACCAGCTTTGGAACGGAGCTGCTTTAAGGATCGTCCCGTCTTTGTCTCTAAAAACATGTGAGAATTATGATGTGATGACGAACGAATAAGCAGCCGCTCAACGCTCTGGAAGCTGAACCACTCACCGTATAGGCTTGAAGCTCTTGTACATTCTCAAACGATTGATTGTTGCTTTGGAGCGGAGATGTGAGCTTTTCGCATCTTTTGGCCGGTCTGTAAACCGTAATTAAATCACAAGACAATAGACTGGCTCCCAGAAAGGGAAAAAAGGAAAAGGAAATATCTTGTAAGAATCATTCCCCGAGAGAATATCTCCTATTACGGTCCCACTGACAGGGCCCTTGTAGAAGCAAAAATGGCATGATCACGTTCCAGCCACACGGGAGAGGAGGAATGCTCAATTGGCTTATGTTGGCTTATTAACAGTTCAACGAGTGCTTCTTAATAGCCTGGTTATTTTAATTGTTAGCGGCATTGTAAAGAGTCCATTAGAATCAGACATTCCCCTTGATATCCTTTCGGTTTCAGTTCGATGGAATCTGCTATCAAAAACCGTTTCTTCAAGTATCTACATTTGAAAGACATTTTAATCATGAATCTCCGAAGGCCGCGGTCACCGTTTTCAATCTGCGATACTGTAGTTGTACGATATTGATATGTTCAATGGAATAGATACGTATCGATCGCGTGATCTTGCGATCATGAGACTTTAACCTTGAGGTGGCGGCATAACATCTACCGGATCCTCTAATTCGATGCTCGCCACAAAAACATCCTCATCTTCAGAATATGTTCACTGCATTTCCATGAAAACCCCGTAGTCCAAAAAAAGTTATGTGATTTCGATTTTTCAAAATGAGGAATCTGATCATCACTTGCCTGGATTCATACTGTGATTTGAACCTCTGAACGTGTGCCTGTTCTTGACAGGTCCATAATTTGGCTTCATCTTCAGCTTAGGATTTTTACCCTCATTCCGTTTTCCCCAATTTTGAGGAAGGACTCTCCAACAAGCATGAATGGGCAATACGATTTTGGAGAGACGAGAAAGGAATTCGACTGCCGTGATAAATGAAAACGAGTTCACAAAATGCCGCCCTCACCCCTATACACGATGAACCACCAACTGATTCCAAACAATGGAATGACCTGAAAAGGAATAACATCTCAAACCTGGATTACTGCAAACATTTAAGACTGAATTATTAAAACAAACTTTTCATCTAAGAAAAAAATATTAATACGCTTCAGGACAAAGTACTGGCACATCGCAACATTACAACGTTATGGTTGAATCATGGCTTGCAAGAAAACTTTACTGTTACAACCTGAAGAAGCGAGAGGTCGATGGACAGATAAAACCATTAAGGCAGCCAAAAAGCGAAGATTTCGTGCTCTAGCGAGATTCTGCTCTCGAATGCGTCCGCGTGCGGTCGTCGTGCCACGCGGCGCGCGAAATCATCGAGATTAAGAAATTCTTCCATTTATACTTCGTCCTTCCGTGAGAATCTTTTCTTCCTTATCCGACGGCCTGAACAAGATTGCAGATTTTCCTCACTGCGTAGAAAACTTTCCTAGCTCTCGAGAATTTGAACCCCCAGCTTGGTCTTTAACAACATTTATTCGCAGGATTCGCAGTAAGGTTTTAAAGGGATGTTCTCTGTTATAGTTGCGCCCAGATCCCGTTTGTACCAAAATGAAGACTCTCCACAATGCCCAGCTCGTCCTGGACATCTTAAATTGAGTGTCGTGATCAACGTCTAATTGAGAAAGATTCTCGAATGAGCCTTTGTGTTTAATTTAAGCTTTTTCTGACTGAGCCACATACAAAGTTCGCTAGGCCCTGTTCAGAGATGTCCGCTTGCGCGAAAAAACGCATAGGCGAAACAATGTGAAATATGTATCGACTGAACGAAGACGCACAGGCGAATCGTGAAGTGGGAGGATCGACGAAAATGAGTATCATACGCATCGACTTACGAACGCTTCGCTCACGCGATTTTCCGCTGCGTTTGTTTTTCGAGCGCCGCGACCATCTCTGAACAGGGCCCGATTTTTTTGATGTGCACACGTAAAAGTTCGAACTTAGGATTGGCATCGTGGCGCAGAACACTCATGCGTTCAAAACCATGGCAAAGCATTTTCGTAGTCAAAATTCAGGGCGCGTTCAGAAGTTGCGATGGAGGGGCTCAATGACAATCAGAAATTTAGATTTGTAGGTTTAAGGCAGAAGAGGTTACCCTCTCCATATAGACACAAATGAATATACATTGGTTACGCAACGTCATGCAGAGCTTTCAACTAACGTGGGCTTAAGTCGTTGGAGGCCTCCTTTTCGGAGCAATTTCAAGGTCGGGTCATACTTTGCAGTTCCTGCGTGCGATCCCATGATCAATACGTTTCTACTCCACATTCGAACTGCAAACTGTACTTAAAGTATATCCCGATCCTTAGGAAGCGCTTACAACTGGCGTACATGCGACTGCTGATCGCTGACTAAAACTTGGCGAGTTGTGAGCGCATCGTAAGGCTGGTGTCAGAGTCCGCGAACCGTCGCAGGCTTCGCCGATTCTCGTGATTTGCACGATCTTAGCGATTTGCGCGAAACCTGCGGAATCATGAGCAGTCGTCATTCAGCCATCACTATCAAGAAGAAGTGGCGGCGGGATTGGAGAACACCTTGCAGTATTGATCGGGCACTTGTGATTTCCGTGACCCGTCGCGTGAATCGCGCAAATCGCGAAAATCAGCGAAACCTGCGACGGATCGCGGACTCTGACACCAGCCTAAGGTCTTGCCTTCTCTGCAGATTTTTTGAGTGGTATATTGTAATTTCGACATTATAGAATGGCACCTCCCATGGCAATGCGAGGAATGATCCATTCCTATGGTCGAAGAGCATTAGCCGTTGCGTTTACCGCGGCAGTAGCCGGAACTGTGGCTTTCAATGCGTTCTATGTGATGCCGCGGCACCACAAGTACGAGGAATTTTACAAGTAGGTCCTCTACAGTGTTTTTTTCATTTCGTCTTACTATCTTTTTTGGTATTCATTTCTTTTTTACTGTTTGCGGTACTTTAAGGCCAATATTTTTTTAACGCTTTGAATGTTTTCTTTTGAGCAATTTATGGTTTCAGTTTTGTGGCGAATTTGACGTGCATGAACTATTAGATTAATGATTAATATTAGATTTTTTTATCATCCTTAATTTTTGACTAAAATCGTTTAAAATTGGTCATTGGGGTATTCTTCCTCACCAGTTGCTCTCATCTACGAGTGAATCTGAGAACCTCTACTAGAAGTCGTTGGGCTTCTGGTTAGGGAACTATTGAACCATTTCAGTGTTAGGATTTTGATAATATAAAAGAATGCAAGCGATTCGAATGTGGAAGTGGTGTAGTGGCAAGCGCGTAGCT